CATTGAGTGAACATGGAAGTGAACCATGTAAGTAAACCCATGTAAGTGAACATGTAATGAACCAGGGAGTGACCCATGAAGTAAACCCATTGAGTGAACCATGTAAGTAAACCATGTAGTGAACATTTTAGTGAACCATGAGTGAACCATGTGTGAACAGGGAAGTGAACCATGAAGTGAACCATGTAAGTGAACCAGGGAGTGAACCATGTAAGTAAACCCTAAGTGAAGTGAAAACCATGTAAGGAACCATGAGTGAACATGAAGTGACCAGGGAAGTAAACCCAGGGAGTGAACAGGGAGGAAACCCATGTAAGTAACCTTTGAGTGACCATGAGTAAAATGAAAGGCTGAAGTGAACCATGTAAGTGAACCATGTGTGAACCATGTAGTGCATCATGTGAAGTGAACCAGGGAAGTGAACCAGGGAAGTGAAACATGCAAGTGAACCAGGGAAGTGAACCCAATGTGAAGTAAAACATGTAGTAAACCCATGTAGTGATCCATGAAGTGAACCAGGGGAAGTAAACCATGCAAGTGAACCAGGGAGTGAACCATTGAGTAAACCCATGCAAAGTGAACCATGTAAGTGAACCAATGAGTGAACCAGGGTTGAGTAAACCATTGAGTGTCCATGAGTGAACATGAAGTGTCCATGTAGTGACATGAAAGGGGAACCATGTGGTGAACATTGAAGTGAACCATGCAAGTGAACCATTGTAAGTGAACCATGTAGTGAACCTTTGTAAGTGAACCATGTAGTGAACCATGCAAGTAAACCATGTAGTGAACCATGTAAGTGAACCATGAAGTGAACATGTAGTGAACCATTTGGGGATGAACCAGGGTAAACAGTGGAACCTGTAAGTGAACCATGCAAGTAAGTAAAACCATGTGGGAACCATGTAGTGAACCATGCAAGGAACCATGTAAGTGAACCATGCAAGTGAACCATGAAGTGGAACATGTAAGTGAACCATGAAGTGAACCATGAAGTGAACCAGGGAGTGAACCATGAAGTGAACATGAGTGCCTGAAACCATGCAAGTGAACATGTAGTAAACCAGGCAAGTGAAGATGAAAGTAAACCCATGCAAGTGAACCATGAAGTGAACCATCAAGGAAAACCATGTAAGTGACCCATGCAAGTGAAACATGTAAGTAAAACCTGAAGTGAACCAGTAAGTGAACCATGCAAGTGAACCATGCAAGTGAACCATGAAGTGAACCATGAAGTGAACCATGAAGTGAACCCATGTAAGTGAACCATGCAAGTGAACCATGCAAGTGAACCATGCAAGTGAACCATGCAAGTGAACCATGTAAGTGAACCATGCAAGTGAACCATGTAAGTGAACCATGCAAGTGAACCATGAAGTGAACCCATGCAAGTGAACAATGCAAGTGGAAAAATGTAAGTGAACCATGTAAGTGAACCATGTAAGTGAACCATGCAAGTGAACCATGTAAGTGAACCATGAAGTGAACCATGTAATGAACCATGCAAGGGGAACCATGAAGTGAACCTGAATGACAGTAAACATGCAAGTAAACCCATTGAAGTGAACCAACAAGTGAACCATGAAGCGAACCATGCAAGTGAAACCATGTAAGTGAACCTGAAGTGAACCATGTAATAAACCCATGCAAGTGAAAACATGTAATGAACCATGAAGTTGAAACCATGAAGGAACATGTAAGTGAACCATTTTAAGTGAACATGCAAGTGAAACCATGAAGGGAACTTGCAAGTGAACCCATGCAAGTGAACATGCAAGTGAACATGAAGTGAACCATGCAAGTGAACCATGCAAGTGAACCATGAAGTGAACCAGTAAGTAAACCCATGCAAGTGACCATGAAGTGAACATGAAAAGTGAACCATGCAAGTGAACCATGTAAGTGAACCATGCAAGTGAACCATGCAAGTGAACCATGCAAGTGAACCATGCAAGTGAACCATGTAAGTGAACCATGCAAGTGAACCATGTAAGTGAACCATGCAAGTGAACCATGCAAGTGAACCATGCAAGTGAACCATGCAAGTGAACCATGCAAGTGAACCATGTAAGTAAACCATGCAAGTGACCATGCAAGTAAACCCATGTAAGTAACCATGCAAGTGAACAATGCAAGGAAACCATGCAAGGAACCATGCAAGTGAACCATGTAAGTGAACCATGCAAGTGAACCATGTAAGTGAACCATGCAAGTGAACCATGCAAGTGAACCATGTAAGTGAACCATGCAAGTGAACCATGCAAGTGAACCATTCAAGTGGAATCATGCAAGGGACCATGAAAAGTAAACCCAATGCAAGTAAACCCTTTGAAGTGAACCATGAAGTGAACCATGAAGTGAACCATGAAGTGAACCATGTAAGTGAACCATGCAAGTGAACCATGAAGTGAACCATGAAGTGAACCATGAAGTAAAACCAATGGCAATGAACCATGCAAGTAAACCCGACAGAAGTGAACCATGAAGTGAACCATGCAAGTAAACCATGTAAGTGAACCATGCAAGTGAACCATGAAGTGAACCATGCAAGTGAACCATGAAGTAAACCCATGAAGTGAAACATGAAGTGAACCATGAAGAGAACCATGAAGTGAACCATGAAGTGAACCAGCAAGTGAACCATGTAAGTGAACCATGAAGTGAACCATGTAAAAAACCATGCAAGGGGAACCATGTAAGTGAACCATGCAGTGAACCATGAAGTGAACCTGCAAGTAAAACCATGGCCAAGTGAACCATGTAATTTGAACCATGCAAGTGAACCATGAAGTGAACCATGAAGTGAACCATGAAGTGAACCTGCAAGTGAACCATGCAAGTGAACCATGAAGTGAACCATGTAATTTGAACATGAAGTGAACCATGTAAGTGAACCATTTTAAGTGAACATGAAAGGGTGAACCATGCAAGTGAACCATGTAAGTGAACCATGAATGCAAATGGCCAAGAGTAAAACCATGCAAGTGAACCATGAAGTGAACCATGCAAGTAAACCCATGTAGTGAACCATGCAAGTAAACCCATGTAAGTGAACCTTTGCAAGTGAACCATGAAGTGAACCATGAAGTGAAACCATTTTAAGTGAACCATGTAAGTGAACCATGCAAGTGAACCATGCAAGTGAACCATGCAAGTGAACCATGTAAGTGAACCATGCAAGTGAACCATGCAAGTGAACCAGCAATGAACATGAAGTGAACCATGCAAGTGAACCATGAAGTGAACCATGAAGTGAACCATGAAGTGAACATGAAGTGAACCATGATTTAAGTGAACCATGCAAGTGAACCATGCAAGTGAACCATGCAAGTGAACCATGTAAGTGAACCATGCAAGTGAACCATGCAAGTGAACCATGCAAGTGAACCATGCAAGGGGAACCTTTGGCAAGTGAACCTGTAAGTGAACCATGCAAGTGAACCATGCAAGTGAACCATGCAAGTGAACCATGCAAGTGAACCATGTAAGTGAACCATGCAAGTGAACCATGTAAGTGAACCATGCAAGTGAACCATGCAAGGTAAAACCTTTGCAAGTGAACCATGAAGTGAACCATGTAAGTGAACCATGCAAGTGAACCATGCAAGTGAAACCTGAAGTGAACCATGCAAGTGAACCATGAAGTGAAACCATGAAGTGAACCATGAAGTGAACCATGCAAGTGAACCATGCAAGTGAAACCATGAAGTGAACCATGTAAGTGAACATGCAAGTAAACCATGAAGTGAACTCATAATGCAAGTGAACATGCAAGTGAACCATGTAATTTGAACATGCAAGTAAAACCATGTAAGTAAACCATGCAAGTGAACCATGCAAGTGAACCATGCAAGTGAACCATGTAAGTGAACCATGCAAGTGAACCATGCAAGTGAACCATGCAAGTGAACCATGTAAGTGAACCATGCAAGTGAACCATGTAAGTGAACCATGTAAGTAAACCCATGCAAGTGAACCATGAAGTAAACCCATGAAAGTGAACCATTGCAAGTGAACCATGCAAGTGAACCATGAGTGAACCATGCAAGTGAACCATGTAAGTAAACCCATGCAAGTGAACCTTTGAAGTGAACCATGCAAGTGAACCATGTAAGTAAACCATGCAAGGGTGAACCATGCAAGTAAATGAAACCATGCAAGTGAACCAGCAAGTAAACCCATGCAATGAACCATGCAAGTGAACGATGCAAGTGAACCATGCAAGTGAACCATGTAAGTAAACCATGCAAGTGAACCATGCAAGTGAACCATGCAAGTGAACCATGCAAGTGAACCATGCAAGTGAACCATGCAAGTGAACCATGCAAGTGAACCATGTAAGTGAACCATGCAAGTGAACCATGCAAGTGAACCATGCAAGTGATAAAACTCCTGGCCAGAGACATGAGTTATGAGCCAAAAAAAAAAATTCTTATCTCTTAAACTTTCCAATATTTTAGCTTTTAAATATATTTCGTAATCTTAAAACTTCATCTATTTTTCCATATATTTTTGTCTCATATAATAGTCTTGATATTTGTCGTTATCAATAATTTTAGTATTAATGTTTAATTTAGCGTTATAAAATATTCAAAAGCTGCACAAAAACAAATGTATCAGTTAAATGTTTATAAACATAACCATAATTTGTAAAGAGGTGGACCGATAAGCCAGCGGAAGGCGTCGGTCAGATGACTAAAAGCTGCGGGTCATCATATGACGAAGACCCGCATCAGGAAACACTTGTCCTGTTTCCTGATAAATCTGACCTGACCACACAGGTCACAACATATATAAAATACACAGAGAAGTGTATTTTTCTCAGCGTATATATGCTAAAAGCATTTTAATCACAATTTTAGTTAAAGTATTCTTGTTTAGTGGTGAAGAGGTCAAGTGCAGCCTAACCTGCATTAGCATCCCTCCACAATTCCTTGAAAGGAGACAAGTTATTAAGTATTTAATCATAAGCTTCCCCACCCGCACACACAACACTTTACCTGGAGTACTCTGGCAGTAGTGTACACTTGGTTTTCTCTTTTATCATGCGCATTACAGCGTCAATGGGGAAATTGGGATGCTGCATCTTAAGGTTTTCTGAAGTGGTGCGGTTTATCCACGGGTAGTTCTCCTGCAGGTGGCTCAGGATGGTGTCGGGCTGCTCAGGCGCTTCCTGAAGAAGGAAATAAATGGTGTAAAATACCGACACAATGGAAAAATAAACACAGAAGCAGGATGTGATCCTTTTTTGACGTTTCCTGAAGATATATGATAATATTAAGAAGCACGTAACACTTTCGTATTTTTATTTCCTTAACATTTCGTTTAGGCAACAGGTTTCTTCAGTGGAATACAGAGGTAACTACTAGATTTTATACAACTGGAGAGGATACTGAAGCGTTTAGTCCTTCAACCTTGATAGATGTGGTGACATGATTTTACCTCCAGTTCTGTCAGTGTTCGGTCCAAGAGTAGAACTCTAATTCCTAGGATCTTTAGAGCCTTACCAATCTGACTCAACCTTCCTGGAGAGGACACTTCTGGCACAACAACTACTGATGGTGAGAGTGTGTCCTTCATGGGGTCTCCTATCTTCTTGTCGTGAAACGGCGGATGTGCGTTTTATTTATTATTTATTTATTTATTTATTTTACGAAAACTACCACCCACCTGCTTACAGCTGCAGTGAGTCTTGACTTCTGTGTGGTTCTCCACCACCATCACCACCACCAGTGCTGCTGCTGATTGTGGTGGTGATCTTTCAATCATCTCCTCTGAAAACACTGTGAAGAGATTGCCTTTCCAGATGTCCTTCTGAGTGCCCTTCCAGAATGACCAGCGGAAGGAGTAGAAGCATAACATGATGGCCACACACAGCAGAAAACCCACAGGGAGGACCCGATATGAACAGCTTCTAAACACAGATGTGAAGGACGAATGCATAAAATACAAATTAAAAATGCATACAAATTATTACCTCACGTATAATCAAAATTACAACTGCTGTAGAGATCAATAGTAACTGCATAAATATTTAAAAATAATGATTAACTCGAAAAATATAGTATTATATATATAATATATATAATATATATATATATATATATATATATATATATATTTATATATATTATATATATATATATATAAGACAAGCCACAGGGGTGGAAATCTTTAGCTCAAGTGCTATCACACTTCTCAGTGCATCATCAGGATGTATGCAAAGTTGCAAGGCAACAGCTGAAGGAGTGAGGGGAAGTTTTCTCGAGTAGCACAGTGTGGGTTTATCACCTGCCGCAGCCTCTCTCGGAATGTGGTTTGGTAGTTTGGTGCCACCCTACACTACCACCATCCCCACCCCCTAATGGGGTAGGAGGGTTTTGAGAAGTCAATGAATATGAAATTAGAAGATATAATAGCCAGCTCCAAGCTTTTTCTAGCCACTTAGAATAGGTCATGTGTCTTAAGTAAATACGTTTCTCAATGGATACTGTACATATTGATTGCTATTATTCTGTATAACCTTTTTAATTAATAAAAGAAAGGAAATGAATGTACTCTTTATTAATGTTGACCTTACTGGAAGGCTCCAGAAATTAAATGTCCCACGTGACTTTACCCTAGTGAGCACTGTTGTCACAGCTCCGCTCACCAAAGTCCCTGTCCCTGGCTTGCTTATGTACCTTGAAGAGGAACTAGAAAATTTCCAAATGCCCTATTCCATGAAAATCATAATTGAATTGATAAAACTTTGTGTTACTGATTGCATCTTTATTTTTGAAGGGAAATACTATGCTCAAAAACAAGGCATGCCAATGGGAAATCCCCTTAGCCCCTTACTCAGCAATTTGTATATGGAATTCTATGAGACTAGACTTCTGAAAGACATTCTCCCAGATAAAGCGAGTTGGTTCAGATACGCTGATGATGTTCTTTGCCTACGGCCTAGAAATCACAACATTGATGAGTTCCTACCTAGACTCAATAGTCTAGTATCTTCCATTAAGTTCACAAAAGAACATGAATTATTATTATTATTATAATCAAGGGGGAGCGCTAAACCCAGAGGATTATACAGCGCCTGGGGGGGGGGGGGGATGTGGAAGGCATTCAGGCTTAATTCGGGGAACTGGAGCACAGATCCAATTCCCTAAATCAAGAGCCCCTCACCAACATCAAGGAATCTTCCTTGAGGGGAAAAGAACATGAAATAAACAACATTTTGCCATTCCTAGATGTTTTAGTCCATGGTGTTGATAGAAAATTCAAATTTACAGTCTATCGGAAGTCCACCAATGTGGTGTCATACATTCACTACTATTCCAATCACGAAACCAGGGTAAAAAGGAGTGTGTTCCTCACAATGTTCTTGAGAGCCTTGCGCATCTACAGTCCAGAGTACCTAGAGGATGAAATCAGCAAGATATTCAACATAGCCACAAAACTAAGATATCCTAAGGATTTTGTGGAGAAGGCACTAATGTCAGCAAGAAAGACTTTCTACAGGACTGAACCTAAGAAGTGGTTACCAGGAAAAATGTACCAGTTTTACCATACAATGAGACCCTGGTTTGCTTGCGTGAGGCATTAAAAACGATCAATATAAACTTTGTTTTCAAAAACACAGGGACTGTAAAACAAAGGTTGATTAAAAACACACTCTCCAACAAAGTTGGTGGAGTTTACAAGGTCCCATGTACTCAAGTGTCATCTCTCATATATTGGTCAAACTGGTAAACTTCTGGAAACCAGAATAGCCCAACATAAATACTCAGGACAGGGCAAGAGTCAAACGCTATCTTTAATCACGTTAGTTCCTGTAATCACCCACTGGGGTGGGCTGCTGCCCAGATTATTGTACACAACAGTTCTGTCATAGAAACATAATTTAATCTGTCTTGAAACATGACAGGAATACCATATATAACTCAAATTACGGGCTATACAAGCTCGACAGCTGTTTAGTAGAGTCTATTGTACACAAGATTAAACAACAATGCTATACAAAATCACAGGATTGCTCATTAGCCAGGTGGTTTCATGATGGATAGGTGATGCTCGACCTTTGTCTATGCACCAAAACTTCATGCTAAATCAGTTGTGAATGGTTATATAATGCGTTAAGCTGTTACTGTACCATACATGACAGGTACACAAGATTAAGTTTTATTTATTTATTTATTTATTTATTTATTTATTTATTTGAACATGATACAGAGAAGTACAAGGAATACAATTTTTAAAGTGCAGCATGCCAAAGCCCCTTGTATTATGGGCAGGCTTAAAATTAACTTAAGATTAACTAAGCAATGATATATTCAGTGGTACAAAGATTATTGTAAAACAGATAACAATTTAGTACAAATGAGTATTACAAAGACAGGTCATATGGTCATTTACTGTGTTGTTGTGTAATCAGTAGAATGGAGTATTCTGTTAGGTAATGAAGTTAAATAGTAACAAAGTTTGATTGGGTCACAGGTCGACATTTATGAGATACAATAATGAGATACATATATGAGATACAATTTATGAGATACAATTATTCAGTATTTATTTAGTTGTGGGTGAGTAAGTGATTTTTGAGAAAAGACTTGAATTTATAAACAGACAGTGTTTCTCTTATATTCACAGGTAATGAATTCCAGATTTTAGGGCCTTTTATGTGCATTGAGTTTTTGCATAGCGTGAGATGGACACGAGGAACATCAAAGAGTGATCTGTGCCTTGTGTTATGGTCATGTGTTCTGTTGAGGTTGGTAAGGAGATGTTTAAGGGGAGGGTTTATGTCAGAGTTAAGTGTTCTATGTATGTAGTAGGTGCAGTAATAAGTATGGATGTTTTGTATTGTGAGTAAGTTTAGAGTTTTGAATATTGGTGGAGTGTGCTGTCTGTAGTGGGAATGTGTTATCATTCTGACTGCAGCCTTTTGTTGGGTGATTAGTGGTCTGAGATGGTTTATTGTTGTTGAGCCCCATGCACAAATTCCATAGGTGAGATAGGGGTAAATAAGTGAGTGATATAGGGCCAGGAGGGCTGACTGTGGAACATAGTACCGTATCTTCGATAGTATGCCTACGGTCTTGGAAATTTTTTGGGAAATTTGTTGTATATGTGTTTGAAATTTGAGTCTATTATCAAGGTGGATTCCTAAGAATTTTCCCTCTGTGAGTTTTGTGATATGTGTTCCATTTATCATTATGTTAAGAGACACATCTGCAGCTCTGTTACCAAACTGAATGTAGTAGGTTTTGTCAATGTTTAGAGTAAGTTTGTTGGTCCTCATCCAGGTTGATATTTTCTGTAATTCGATATTTACAGTATTGGCTAGCATGACTGGGCTCGGATGAGAGTAGACTTATGTAGTGTCATCTGCAAATAGTGTGGGTTTGAGTAGTTGCGATGCATTTGGTAGGTCATTTATGTATATGAGAAAGAGAAGAGGGCCTAGGACACTTCCCTGTGGGACACCAACTGTAATTGGCTGTGCGGAAGAGTTTGCCCCATTTGTGTACACATATTGGCTTCTGTTGCTGAGGTATGACTTTAGGTAGTTGAGGGAGTGCCCTCTTATACCATAGTGCGACAATTTTATGTGGAGCAAGTCGTGGTCAACTGTATCGAAAGCTTTACGTGAGTCATTGAAGATCCCCAGTGGGACTTCTTTTTTCTCTATTGCTGTATAAATATGTTCTAACATGTGGATAATAGCATCATTAGTATTTTTATTAGGCCTGAACCCAAACTGACAGTGGTTGAGTATGTTGTGGGAGATGAGGTAGGAACAGATACGCTTATGGATTATTTTTTCAAAGATTTTAGAGAGAGGGTGTAAGTTGGATATTGGCCTATAGTTATTCAAGTCTGTGTGGTCTCCTCCTTTATGGATCGGGGTGACCCTTGCTATTTTGAGAACTGTAGGATAGGTAGAGGATTCAATGGATTTGTTAAAGAGTGTTGCAATGATTGGTGATAGCACCTGTGACACTTTTTTGTATATAATGGGT